TTGGTGTCAAAACCTATAGAGCAGGTGTTCAAATCGTGGGCACATTATTCGTCGGATATTCGTTACTTAAATTTCCTGTAATCACTGGGATCAAAAGCTTCTTAATAATAGAACGTGTTTCACTGATATCAAAGATGCAACATTTAAAATCACCTTTCCCTAACCCAACTTTTTAAGCAGTACAATTTTTTCTGTCAAAATGATAGTGAACCCCAGTAACGTCAAAACGGGAGTTTCAGCCATTGTTACTTTTCCTTTTTTGCCTATAGCACACCGTTGCCACTGGACTGAAACTACAAAGCTTTGGCATACTAGTAAACCCCGTGTGGAAATGTCATAAAAATCCGAGCGGTTATTTCCAAGTTGATGAGTGATACAGTATTTCATATGACTTAAAAAAACATAACATCTCATTTTAGAAATTTTTCGCGATTACAATACTTCCTCGCCACTGGCGTGGGAGTAGAACGGTTTCGCGATTATGAGTACCTATATGCAGAACGACTTATCTATTCGATATTATATGAAATAGGGCCACCAAATTATCTGAATACGCTTGTGTTGGCAGCACGAAACAGTGGACAAAATTCGTCCAAAATACGATTTGTAGCGGTTTGCGCGCTTTGAAATTGATGCTTCATTTTTTGATATTTTTGAATGAAATTTCACAGTGTGCTGAAAATAAAACACCACAGGGTGCTACAGAGCCACTTTTTCATTTTTTTCACTAGATTCTTTTTTAAAAAATCGCAAAGTTGAACAGAAAAAGTGCGCACTTCAACCCATCATAAAACTTGTGCAAAAAACAAAATTTCAAAAAGTGCTCCTGTAATACCCTGGGGTGAACATACTGTATGAATTTCATTCAAAAATATTGAATAATGGAGTGTCAATTTCGAAGCAGCTGAACCCTTGTAGTAAATGGCTTGAAACTCACTGCGTCGCAGCCGCCTTAAGTCATATTGCAAAACTTTTATAGTACCTACTTATCTTCATCCAACCTTATCTACCGTTTTCCAAAAAAATTTCCAGCTTAATGAACATAAAGACAAGACCGTCTCTGTCTCTGTGTGCACGACCAGCCTTATTTTCTAAGAAACAAAGCTGGCCGCTTTCTGATAGTTCAGCGAATATTTCACCTGTCATAGTTGTTCGGATAATTTGTTTTGTGCATCGTGTAAAAAGACAGGCTAAACTTCGACGTTAGCCGTTATATTTTGCTTAGCCGGAGGTTGATCGATTGCAGGATTTTACAGTTTCGATGATGTTTTGTTTTCGTCAGTTCAAGCACAAGTGCGGCACGGAATTGCACGCATGGTCACTACTCTTTCTAGGAGGGAAAAGCTTTGTAGTTTTTGATAATCGATCCGGAGGCGGCAGAGCTAGGGGAAAACTTGACAAAAATAAAAATTTCTTCGTTTTTTTCGAGGTTTCAGATGTGTCGTCATAAGCGCAAAACATGCAGAAATGAGATATAGTCATTATAATATGGAAGGCGCGTAGAAGGAACGTATTTCTATGATAAAATAAAGTATATGTCATGATAAATGACAAAAATCTATTTGTTTTCTTTACAGTACGTTTCTACGATATATATATATATATACAGAATCTGCACAACATATAAATTAAAACATAGTAAATTATCCGTACTTACTGTATTCAAGCTTAGAAACCATACAGATACTGTGTTTTAATTTATAACCAAAGCACTGATGCTAGCAGATATTATACTAAGTGACATATAAAATCCGAACACCCAGTTTAAATGGTTTTATTTTAATAAAATTTTGTATAAGTGCTTAATGAAGCATAATAAGTAAATGATAAAAATTTCAAAATGATTGCACTGCTTTAAAGCCCTTTGACCTTTAATAATGTGTGGATGCACCCTGATGTGCTACGCATTCTCCAACGCGCCTAGGCATGCTTCTGATGAGGTGGTCAATGTCCTCCTGTGGTATCTCATTCCAGGCAACCACCAACTCCTCTAGAAGTGCTCCTAGAGTCTGAGGAGAACGTTGCAAATTGAGCAATCTCCTACCCATCATATCCCACACGTGCTCAATTGGGGATAAGTCGGGAGATATTGGTGGCCATGGTAAGAATGTGACATCATTATGTTGAAAGAAGTCTATTGTGACTCTTGCAACATGTGGTCGGGCATTATCTTGTTGGAAAGTTGGATCTGCCAGGACGTCAAGATAGGGTAAAAGATGGGGTTCTAGAACTTCGTGGATATAACGCGGCGCGTTCATGTTACCTCTGATGAAGATTAAAGGTGACCTGGAACCATAAGCTATAGCACCCCAAACCATAACTCCAACAGTGTGATGAACATGTCTTTCAACAAACAACTGTGGATTCCTCCTTTCACCAAGTCGCCTTCTAACCCTGGCACGACCATCGTGCATGCCTAAACAAAATCGAGACTCGTCACTAAAGACAATACTGTTCCATTCCTGATCCCAGAGTGACCGTTGTCTGCACCACTCAAGGCGATTACGTCGGTGTTCTCGAGTTAAAGGGAGGACCCAGTGTGGCCGGTATGAAAACTTCTCATTCGTCGGTAAACACTTCGCATGCCAATAGGTCTTCCGTGTTCTGCAAACCATTCATTTGCAATGGACCTGGTAGTGGAGAAACGGTCCCTTAAGGCCAATAATCTTAGGCGGCGATCTTCACGGTCTGTTGTTCTACGGCGGCGTCCAATGCCCCTTGCTCTTTGCGTACGGCCTTCTCGAAGCCATGCCTGACAATACCTAACCACAGTGTCTACACTTCTTTGCACTCTAACTGCAATTGCCCGAAAAGAAAGTCCAGCTTCCTGAAGTCCCACTATACGGCCCCTATCAAACTCACTAAGTTGACGAAATCGTACAGGTCTCCGTACTCTAGGCATCGTAACCGATCGTAAAGGATGTCAAGAACCAAAATCCGCCAACGTTGATTCTTTACTGCGGCTGAAATATTCATTTTTAGAGCGTTAGTGAATTAAAAAAAAGCAGTATAAAAACCGCAATGTCTAACTGATAAGGCTGAACATTTTTTCACTTGTTATTTACAGTAAGATAAATACATTCACCAACTTTTATTAAAATAAAACCATTTAAGCTGGGTGTTCGGATTTATATGTCACTTAGTATATACACTCAATCACACCAAATTAATAACATTTTTAATTATTTTTCGTCGGTCACTTAGTATATTTGTAGGGATACTGTAAAAACATATTTGCTATCATGGTCGTATACGCTGATAAAACATTGAAGGCATTCCAAGCCGTACATTAGTAAAGGCTTTTTTTGTCATATCAGGATCCGAACAATATGAACATGTTAACTTAATATTCAGTGATTTTTCTGTGCTCGTTCCATTTGTTTCATTGCATTATCATGCCCATCGGGTTACGTGAAGCCGGATTTTCTTTTAGAGAAATCGCTAATCGGGTGAGTCGAAACGAAGCTACTGTAATGAGATGTTGTCGAGCGTAGTTCCAAAAAGACCGGAATCAAGACGTACTAGTCGTCAAAGACAGTCTACCGAGCGACAAGATCGTTGTTCGAGGCAACTAGCATTTAAAGGACAGTAACAATGACAACAGAATGTGTAGCAAACAGAGGAGCTTCAACACATTATTAACAGCTATTTTGCGAAATTTCGAGTTAAAATTTTCATCACTTTCTATTTATCAGTAGACCTAAGACTTGTAAAAGTATGCTCAACATTACAGCACTCGTAGTCGCTGTTGAATTTTCTATTTCATTCAGTATATAACAACTTTTCAGATGGGAGTAACTTTTTTACTTTTACAGAAAACGCGTAATCTTTTATTGCCATGTAATATGGCAGAACATTAGTTTTAAGTTGTTAGAGCTACAGTACCTATTAACACCATCTGCATTAAAATCACACTTCATCTGCGTATCATCAGCAAAAATTGGGCATGTGCATTCTTGAAGTTATCTCGTAAATCTGTATCGCAAAGTAAAAACATCAACGGTCCCAGTGCTGAGCCTTGTAGACCACCTGATTTGATTTTTCATATTTTCTTTTGGCGTCCGCTCTTTCAATATGACCTAATAAAGCTGCAGGCAACTTCATCAAAGCCATAGTAGCGACCTTGGCAATAAGTATCCGATGGTTAAACGTATCAAAGGTCTTGAAAAGGTCTAACAATACCAGCAAGCTCATATTTTTACTGTCGGTGGAAGATACGATGCTATCTGTGAGATAAGACGGCGCTGTAGGTTTAGTACGGTTTTTTCTGAAAGCATCATCGATCGGCGGGAATAGTTGTGTGGGCCTATTTGACTGACTTGATCCTTTATAAACTGATTGCCGGCATTAAAATCACACTTCACTGCGTATCATCTTGATATTTTCTTTTGGCGTCCGCTCTTTCAATTTGACCTAATAAAGCAGCAGGCAAGTTCATCAAGCC